GTAAGAGTTTCGGTAGCATTACTGGAAATTCTCGCAAGCCTACTGGCAATATCTTAAAACGTGGTCGTACCATTATAAAGAAGAAGTATGAGTCCAAGAAAGAAACTTTAAAATCTGATAATTTTAAAATAATAACAGAAACAAATTCAAATAATAAAGAAGATTTGAAAATTAATGATTTGAAAAACTTAAGTTCATTGATTGTTCATAAAGATACTGAATTTGAAAATAGTAATGAAGTTTCATATCCTAAACAATCTCTTGAATTAAATGATAAATTTTTTGCAGAAGAAATTAAGCATAATTTTGAAATAAAAAATAATTTATTAGAATCTAATGATTTTGAAAATCGATATTTTGCTGAAAAACAATTTTCAATAGAATGTGATGATTTTGATAGAAAAATAGATATAGAAACTTCCAAGAAAAAGAAATCAAATAAATATTCCGATTTTACCGAAGACTATTCAAAATTTTACATACCAAATATATCAATTTCAAAGGAAAATGAAATTATAAAATCATCTTTATTAAAAAACATAAAAGGCATTCAAAATATCGGAACAGATTCTTATGGTATTGAAATCTCTAATAGTCGATTTTTCGTTCCTAAAAATTATATATATTCCGGTATAGAGAATGCAATGAATGATCTAAAATTTGAGGTAGACCCAGACATGAAAAAAATATTGCAAGAAAGCACTCAAACAAACAATAATTCAATAAATATAAATAATTTTAAAATAACTAATATCCAAGAATCTCAACATTTAAACGAGTCTAAAATAGAAAGTGGGTTTGCATCTGATTTAAGAAATAAAAAAAATGCTTTTCTCGTGCAAGTTTCTGAATTCAAAAAATTAAAAGAAGAACATAAAAATAATTGTTTTTTATATAAAAAGCGTAGATTATTTCTGAAAAAAAATGAGTTTAAAACTAGTAAAATTGTTGATTCTCTTTTAGATATTACTTATAAACAAAAATTGTTCACTTCTACTTTGAAAAATCAAAGTTTTTCTACTTCTCTAGATAATCTGAATTTACAAACTTATTCTGATAATTTAAGTAATGAAAATATAAGAAAAAGGCAAAAAGAGGAATCTATACCTTGTAATAATTATGATATTGAAAGTGCAATATGCAAAAAAGATATCAATGATTCAGTATCTGTAGAATCAAAAAATTTTCCAATTGAGCCTTATTTATATCAAAAATCGAAAGATTTAGATTCCTTAAATCTTAAAAAAGAAAAAGATATAAAGAGAGAAAAATATAATACATATCCTATTTTCTCTCCTTTGGAAAATATACCTAAATCTACTTTAGATAGTCCACCTTTCAATTCACAATTTGCATTAAGGAAACTTATAACATCATATTCGAACAAAATTACTACAGAATTAGATTCTACCTTGATGCAGAAAACTATTGGTGAAACAATGAAATTCGATAATGAATTACGAGAAACGGAAAAAAGTTTATCGCTATGCGAAGTAAATAGATTAAAACGTATGAAATTCTTAAATATGAACTTATCTCAATCTGAATCAAATGCAGAAACTAATATAAACAATTCTGTAATCATATATAAAAAAAAAATAAAAAATGAGAATTCCAATTTAAATTCAGATTCAAAAATAAATCAAAATAATAGCGATTTAGCGTTCAAGAATAAATCTCTAATAGGAAGGACTTCATCTTTAAGAGAAAAATTTGAAACGATTATAGAAGATGTGGATCTGAAACCAGGCCAACAAATAGGTACAATATGCGACCATAAGTCGCCAATAGTAGTGTGAAAACGTGATTGCTTGTACTTGCAGAATTCAAATCCCCATTGTCTGTTCTGGTTTTTAATTCTAATGGATAAATGTGTTAAAGAATCGTAAATATACCCTTCTCATTGTTACTCTCAGATTTCTTTAAAACTTCTTCATCTTTCATATTCTTTAAATTAATTATTATATTAATTTTTTTTTGTATGATACCCATATTTTGTCTGTATTCTGAAATTTTTTGTTCTTTGTTCTTTATTCTTTGTTCTTTGTTAAAGTATTTTTGTATAATATGATAGAAATAATAAATGTAAATACAATCGTAGTCTTACAATTACAAATTGAAAGATAACTGAAATATTTTCTAGAAATTTTTTTTTATTATTTATGTGCTTTCTTTTAAATGTAAACATAGTGCTTATTGCTTTTTTTTGTTATGTAATTTTGCTTTTAATATATGTATAAGTATATGTATAAGTATATATATTTTGTTTTTCAGCTAATCAAAAAGTAATTCAACAATCACAACAAAGACCAGCGAGTACACCGACTGAAACCCAACATTGTGTGTTGACGAGTGTTCAACAGGAGATTGCTGCACGTCGAAAAGCTAATATTTCTCGTCAAGATTCAAGGTTATCTGTAAAATGTTTGATAGAAAGCATTGAAAATGCTACGAAACAAGCAAAAGCAGGTATAATATAAATGGAATTTTATAATATATTCCTCTGTGATTTTATAATATAATAATTTTGTATATAGGCCCTGGGAGTCGTAGTAGTTCTACGTCTTCGCTTAATTCCATTGGAACGAATGACATAATGACATTAAAAGCTCCACTTCGAGAACAACAGCAAATCAATAATCTTATTTGCACAACTAATTCGACAAATAATAATAAAACCCAAACCACAATTAGAAAACCGTTGTCAGGTAATTATATAGAATAAATATTTAATCACGAATAATATATTTAAAAATAAATATTTAAAAATAAAATATTTAAAAATAATATTATATTAATAAATTTTAATTTTGATTATATTTAATTATCATTTTATTGTTAAATTAATAACAATAAAATTTAAATATATATATTTTTTAATATTGCTAAAATAAGATTATGAATTCTTTTAATTTATACATAAAACTTCTACTAATACATAAAAAAATAAATATGTATTTTATGAAAGCATTTAAATTATAGAATTTTTAATAATTATAGAAACAAAGTCAACAGTACCTGTAGTGTTGAGCTCTGGCGAATTATTAGAATCTGCTGCATTAAATGCGAAGGCCATTGACTTCGTACGTCGTAACAGCGTAACGGACTTATCGGAACGTAAAGATCCTCTTTGTGGTTTAATAAAAAACGGAGGCTCAAAACGAAATGCATTACTTAAATGGTGTCAGAACAAAACCATGGGTTATCGAAATATAGATATTACGAATTTTAGTAGCTCATGGAATGACGGTCTGGCTTTTTGCGCTATTCTTCATTCCTATCTTCCACATAAAGTACCATATGACACATTAACACCAGTAGAAAAAAGAAGAAATTTTTCTATTGCTTTCTCTGCGGCGGAGAGCGTTGGAATACCTACTACATTAGTAAGTTATAATAAGTAGTAATAGCAATAATTTATTAAACTATATATTTGTGAATAAAAAAATAAATAACTAAAACATTATTTCATTCACAGAATATAGGAGAAATGTGTCAATTAGAACGACCTGATTGGCAACAAGTTATGACATATGTAACAAGTATTTATAAACACTTTGAAACATAATTTTCAATTTAATGTCTCCTGTCGAAATGGATCTTTTATACGTTAAGAATTCACTACTAAATTGTGAATACATCAAGAATAAGATCATCTAGTCAGATAAAAAATATTTTTATGGAGACAAAATTGTTTTCAAGAATACTTCAATTTTGAATTTCTAAGAATTCCTGGAATATAATACTGCCTATGTATAATCGTGAGAAAAATATGAATTATGATGAGATATAATGGAATTGCTTTTTATTATGAGACTAAATGTTTTTAATATACATGCATATATATATATATATATATATATATATATATATATA